GGGGGACAGAAGGGGACACAGGGGGATAGAAGGGGACACAGCCGGACACGGGGGGGCCCCGGCGCTGCCGGCCCGGTGCCGCCCCCGTGTGGCCGCCGGGGGGGGGGGGCCCGAGCGCCGGCCCCGCCCGGGCAAGGGGCCGCACCGAGCATCATCTGCTCGTGGAAGGCGCAGCCTAAACAAGAAACCCACCCTGCTCAGCAGCTGGGTCCTAAAAATAGCTTTCGCACCTATTTTGTTTTTTTACAAGTGCTTTTACAAGTGCTTAAGGATTTTCAGTAAGATAAAGATTTTTAAATTACTTAAATTGACGTAATTTATTTTGCACACGCAGGTAGGATTTTATTCACTATATTTATCTGTTTTTATTAATTTATTATTACTGAAATCGGCATTGGGACAAGGAACACATATATCAGAGATGCTTCTGATAAGCCCCTCAAAGGACTAAGGCAAAAGACACATGATACCCAAAAGACACAGAAGGCATGACAGACAAGTGACACGCCATGCACCGGCACTGCTCTGCCTTAAGCAATCCAGCACAGTGTGACTTTTCCTCTATGTGGCCTAAGGGGTCACCTCTTGCACATCCCCATCTCAACAGCTGCCTCAAAAAGCCCTCCCAGCACCTCGCTTTCATCCCCTCTCAGGCTCCTAGCCCTCGAAATCTCTCTAGGATGTCTGGCCATGGGAATCCACGTTGACTACAAAGAAAGGCTGCCTCGCTTGCTGGCAATTTCCTGCACACACCGACGGGTGGCCCTTACTCAGCTACAATCAAGAACACCAAATATCACTGCATAATCTTAGCCACACAGCAGCCACAAACCAACAAGTCTGCTACTCAGCATTCTCCTAAGAATATCCATCTCCTTGGGCCACACTCTTTGGCCACAGCCTCATGGCAGGGTCTGCCTGGATGAAGAGGAGACGAAGCAATGTGGCATTCCCGAAACTCAAATATACCCTGGCTCCTGCTCAATGGTTCCTTAAAATAAGGTCACCCGTCTCATGGATGATGGGAAGGTAAAGCAGGTTCTATTTCAGGGTTTTAAGTGCAGTTTTGATCCTGTCCCTCGCAGAATACATCTGGAGCAGGTGTCCAGGTGTGAGACAGAGACAGGGTGTGCTGGGTGAAGAATGGTGATGTACTGGTTTTCAATGGGATAGGATCCATTTTCTTCCCAGGGAGCGACAAAGAGCTGCGTTTGGATTCAGGACGGGAATGTGGTAGATAGCACACGGATGGCTTGGATGTTGTTGAGCGGGGCTTGCCCTCCTCAAGGACTTTGCAGTGTCACATTGGACAATCCATGTCCCGTGCTCTGCCAGCAAGGAGGTGAGACCATCAACATTCCCCTCCTCATCCCTGTGTCCTACTAAAAGAAGGATCTTCCACCACTGTGCTCCAGAGAGCTGGCAAGTGCCCATAGGGAGCCCCCTGATCCTTGCTGGGGCACTGCGGAGGGCGGGGCCAAGGCAGGGCAGTGATGGCACAAAGGGGCAGAGCGCTGGCGTGAGGCAGGGCTGTGATGTCCCAGGGCTGTGCTGGCCGCAGCACTGTGACATCGCTGTGACATCACCGCGCTGTCGCTGCATAAAAGGGGCCGGTGCCCGCAGCTGCCAGTGCAGCCGCGACGGGACGTGCTGGAGCCATGGGTGCCGGTGACGTCCTGCTGACTGCGCTTCTCCTGCTGCTGGCCGCCGTGGCTGTCTGGTGGGCCTTTGGCCACCGGCAACCGCGGAGCCGGCGGACACGGAGAGGGAAGTGGAGCAAGCGCCGGAGGGCCAGGCCCAGAGGCTCACGGAGGAAGCGAGGAGCCCCTGCGGCTCCCAGGTTCCCCAGGCGTCGGGTGACTCCGGACAAGCGGCCGTGTGCTCCCGCCAGCCCCCTGGGCAGCCCCTGCGGCTGTGGCCCCTGCCTGGCAGAGGCCCGGGAGCTGCGGGAACTGATGCTGTACCTCGGGGATGGCAGCGGGACACGTGCGCCGCTCTACTCTGGGATGTGGCAGGCCTTGTGGACAGAACTGGAGGAGCTGCTGAAGCAAGGCCACCTGCCCTGCTGTGGCTTGGCCAGCTCCTCCAGAAGCCTCCATCCCTTCCTGAGGCTGCTCCCAGCAAGATTCTCCATCCCTGGGAGAGCCTCAAGGCCTGCAAGGATGGCACAGCAGGGGGAAGCCATCCATGCAGGAGCCTCTGGCTGTCAGAGACCCTGCACCCTGCCAGGAGTCTCTGCTATCTCTGACAGCCTCCATCCCTCGCAGAGGCTCAGTGAGACCTGTCAGCCTGCAGAAGGAGCAGAGCCCGTGGACAGGTCTCCCAGCTCCCTTGGACTCACGGACTTTAACAACGTGGGCACAATCCTGACCCTTGACGTGTCAGGGGAAAGCCCACAAGTCCAAATGGGAGCCCAGCCCGATGCAGGGGAGCCTGCTCAGGAGCAGCTGGTCGGGCAGCAAGCGTCCTGGAGCCAGCAGTGGTCATTCCACAGCGGCCAGGACAGCCAGGACGCTGTGCCGGTTCTGCCAGCTGGCAACAGCCCGAGTCTGGTGGTGGAGACGGGCCTCCAGACACCACGGAGGTTCCTCCA